GCACCGCTGATTTTCCGCCAGATTCATCAATCGTTTCGCCAGGCTCCCGAGACCCAGGGTAAACTCGGTGAAAAGCAGAGTGACCCAAAAGCGGAGTCATCACTCTGTTGACCGTCCACGTAAGTCACTGATTTCACTACTTTCAAATTTCCCTATATAGTTATTTATCGTGGACGTAACAATGGATGGAAATACTCTATTCTGATTGGTCTGTCTTCAGAAATGCACCAATCAGAACAGAGAATTTCTATCCAGCAAACAATTTAGCACGAAAACAAACATCGTGTGCCGCTTTAGATAGGTTAGTTACGACTTTGCACTCTTCGGAATATACAAGTGTCTGTTTTAAGTATTTTCTTCGATAATTCTGTCTGATTACGAAGCAGAATGAGATTTAAAACGTATCAGAGAATAATATGGACCAATCTGGAGTTGATGGGACTTTTAGAAGAGGATGATTCTTGTGTACATTTCAAAAATACCACGAAGCATCTCGCGTTACATCCATTCCACCTGAAAAATCTTCGGAAAGCTCTAAATGAAATTCTGATGTCTATGCTAAATACTTATGATGCAGAGTACGTGATATATTTTTTGTCTTACATATATTTTATATATTTAATAATAGCGTTTTTTTTTAATAGCTTTGCAATAGCGTTTGATAAAATATATCGTTTTATTTTAGATTAAAAGGGTTTTTAATATCATATAAAAATCCCAAATTATTGAGTAACTCTGGAGAAATATTCTATGACAGCCATTTTATTCATGTTGACATCGAAGCTGACTTTTATTTATTCTGCCCAAAAGTTGGATCTTCTTTAAAAGGTATGTAAATTATGTTTCTATTTTTTTTATCAAAAATTTTATATTTATATATTTTTTTTTATTAAAAGTAGATTTATTATCACATCCAATTTGTAGGCATAGTGAACAAGAAGGGCTTGGATCATATTGTATTACTTGTTCACAAAGTATTTACTGTTACTATTCCAAAACCAGATAACGAGGAGGAAGAATGGCTAGGTAATACTGTGGAGATTGGCCAAGAAATAAAATGTTCTGTAACTCATATAGATAAAAATGCCAAAATTCCCTTCATCTGTGCTACTTTAAATACTGATTACTTACAAAACTGTAGATTACCAGAAATATTTAATATCTCAGATACAGGCATCAATATTAAAAATAATATAAATGGCATGAAGATGATCAATGGGTCAAATGTTACCACATCGGAGGACAATGATAAAGAAACACACATTAAAATAAAGATTGAGCATTCTGATTCAGAAGCATATACACAGAAAAATATAGGATCAAATTATAAGTTGCAAAATAACGATGATACAGATTTGTATAATAATACGAATCCGACTGAACATATGGAATCACGTAAACGAAAGAAGAGAGAACGTTCTGAAACAGACACTACTTCTGAACCAGAGAAGAAAAAGAAGAAGAAACATGTGAAGAAATCTAGAGAATCCGATTCAGAATCAATGTATATGACAGAAAATGAAGAAAGTATATTTAACAATACCACGAATACTGTACATAGCATTAAATGCCCTAAAGAGGAGCAACAGAATAGTAAGAAACATAAGAAGAGCAAAAAAGTGTCTATGATAATGTCAGATTCAGAACCAGAAGATTATGTTATTAAAATTAAGGAGGAAAAACCTGATCCAGTTATATTAGACAAACTAATCAATGAAAATATGGGAATATCATCCAGCAATAAAAATATGGAAATACAAAATTTAGATGAACATATGAAATCAGATCTATGTATAAAAATAGAAGATTCCGAGAAAGATAAGAGAAAATCAAAAAAACATAAAAAAACACATAGAAATTCGGAGTCTGAGATTAAAATTAAAAGTGAAGGTAAGATAATCAATATTTCCCCAGTGAAAAAACACTACAATGAAGATGAAGAGCAGCTTCAACATACAGAGCATATGTCAGCATCAAATATTTCCTCAAGTATCTCTGATCACGAGGATGTATCTAAAAAACAAAAAAAGAAGTCCAAAACGCCCGCGTCACCAGATTCAAAGTCGAAACAATATATTAAAATAGAAGAAGTAGATAATTGATCTATATACAAAGCTCATGTGTAATATGAGCTATAAAATATTAAAAAACAATGAAAACACGCCACAGAACATTTTTAATATGACAGAATCAACAATTTACAAAGCATCCTTCGTTTATCCTTTACAATTTTAATGCAATAGATTTGTTCTTTTTTGTAGAATTTTATGAATTTGTATACACTAAGTGCAATAAGTTAGAGTAAAACAAAATATAATATTGAAGTACTTGTGCACGAAACTTTCGCTATTTTAAATTCAGATAATGAGGAAGAGGAAGCTAGGTTCTATTGGCCAGGAAATATTGCTTGACTCAGATCAAACTCCATGGGCAAAGCTCCATAAAAAAATTCTCATTCTGTCATTTTAAATACCGATTATTTGCAAGGTTGTAGATTGCCAAAAACAAGCATATCGATAGCAGACAACATTATTGAAATAAATATGAGTAATACCAAAAAAATTGCTGATGGATGAAACATGAAACCTAATCTAGATACAGATATAAGAAAATTGATAAAAACGTTATGTATACGTTATTGTAAATAATATATAATAAGAATATAATATGAAGAGAGAGACTGCAGAATGAAAACGTGTTAACGGTATATACTTTATACTTCCTGCATTTTAAATATCTAAATGCATGATATTTCCGCAAATATATCGCAGAATATACAGTATAATTTTGATGTGTACGCGCGTAAAACTAATTTGTAACGGCGTTACGTACAAATAATGTATTATTTCCAAATTCTGTTTCTTTTTTTTTAACATCGAACTATAAGTTATAGTAGAATATAGTGTTATTTACACATCATTTTACTTGCTTTTCTTGATATTATATTTTTGTAAGAATAGGATCGTACATTATGCGAAAATGAAATTCATAGAATCGCTTAACGATTCCAATCGTATAAATAGGTTGTAAGCCAAGATATAAATTAAGATTTTTGTATTAGTCATTATACATACTGTTTCTACTTCGTCATATAAATAAAATGTACATAAACCAGAGATTCATGTGCGTGACAGGCAAAAGTTGTCATTCTATACGTTCTGTGAATTAAAAGATTTTATTTTCGAGAGACCATATGTATAATTTATAATTGTTACTTATTTTTCGGTACTCCACTAGCAGTCAATGATCATTCGTACTGTATTTTAAAGGAAAGATAAAACGTAGATTCTAAAAAGTTAATCGATTGTTTTTACTATTTTCGTTCAACTGCCAATGTCCGTTTCAGAGCAATGAAAAATAGGAAATGCTCTCGTAATCTTAACTATCGATTTAACTTAACAATAATCATTATTCAGTTCACATCAAAACTTCTCCTCAGCATCTGATAGTCCTTTTCCCGTACTAATATCCTTACGATTTAATTAGGTACACTTAAACGCGTCGTATCGCGCGTGTGTACACGCATGTTACATATTTACACATATAATGTCAATTTGTCACTAAAACACCTCATTTGCACATATCGTCCGCACCATTGTCACTACTGTAATCCTCCAAGGAGGACTTTGTCGTTTGTTTGTCTCTCACCGTTGTACAAGAATTAGCTTGCAGCATAGACGTCTCTCTCTTGGAAGGATTAAGGACAATGGAGAGGATAATCTTATACACACGCACACATACATATACACACATACATATATATACACACATGTGTAGTTCAACAAATCCACGATGAAAAAAAAAAGAAACAGACGATATCTCCACTGCCGGTCGAGTTGTGTGTTGATAATTTCATTTGGAAGCTACAATTTATTTAACTTAGAGTTTCTATTCCTTAAGGTTCCTCATCGTGGAGATTGTTATTGATAACGTCAGAAGCGAGAAAACGCGAGAAAACCTTAAAATTTTTGCATATTATTTTCAAATAAAAAAATATTTCTATAAAAGAACACTTGATATCAAGCTATTTGAGCTATTCTTTCATAAGCCCATATCAGACTACCGACTGCACAGGCCGACTACGACTGCCGACTCCAGTCGGTCAAGGCTAAAACGTACAAATTATTTATATACACTACTCAAAGATTACAATGCATATACTTTTGATATGGGCTTAGGATTTGCTACGACTCGAGTCGCTGACTTGAAAAATAGACTGAAGTCTAAATTGGCCGATTAGTCGATGTTTCACTGTGATTGATCCATTGAGAGTCGGTAGTCGGGTTGGCCTGTGCAGTCGGTAGTCTGATACGGGCTATACAAATATTTTTTTATTTGAAAATGCTACATAAGAATTTTCAGCGCATCATTTCAGCGTGTATCGTCTCTGACGTGTAACGACCCAACATGACACAGCGGCGGGAGTACCCAGGAGCCTTAAAGCACCATTTTAGCACCAGTAGGCTTGTAACGATCATTCGGGGATTTCTTCAGCAAAGTTCCGTTCATCCAATGCTCCTTTAATCGCGGACTAAAATGAACATTCACTATGGCAAAGGCCAGGGCAATCCGGAAAAGTCCACGGGACCGCCCAAGCCCGCGTCGGCTTCCAAAAGGCTCATGATGACAGCCATCGCTGCCTCGTCGTTGCCGTCGGACGGGATCGGATTCGGCGATTCGTTAATCGCGCTATTGCCGATCATATCCATCATTTCCTCGTCTGGTGACGCTCCTGAAAGGAGGTGGATGTTACGTTGTGCGTGATATCGCTAATATCGACGTGAGATGATGGCCAACACCGACGCTATAATTTGTAATTCTAGCCGTGCAGTACGAATCAATCTCGATTCGCTTCTCACGTAATATTTGTCTCTCACACAAGCGAGAATAAGACATTCAAGAGAGAAAAAGGAAAAGAAATGTATGAAAAGTCACGATTTTTCCTAATTTCTCAACTAAATTCTTACCACGCTCTAGCGTGAACATTCTCTCTTTCTATTCACGAGCGCTTTATCTCTAGATCTCTTCTGAGTAATTTCGGCAATCGCACTACACACCAAGAAACGACTCCTTAGAGACAGTAATAGCTATGACCTTGGTCGTTCGCGATGCTGTTGAGCTGCATGTTGTTCGCTACATGGTTGAACGTCGACGTCGGTTTGCTACTACTGTTGTCGCTGCCAATGCCCGGTTGGGACACATCGGGAATCCTCTCCGGCGACACCGTCGTCGTGATTTGCATCTTCAATCGAGAGCAAAACATTAAGATGTCAGTTGACTTTAACCTCGTTAAAACTTATTTACCTCGGTATTTAATAAACCAGGCTCCGTTGTTGGACCCGGACTACTACCCGAGGAAGAGTCCTCGCCGCGTCTTTGAAGGTCTAGTACCTCTTCCGCTATTTGCCGGCCGATCTTACTTACCTCCACGTGGCTCGAGATCAGTCTTTCTAGTCCACCATTACCTACAAGCAAGATAAATCCATGTTTATCAGTCTCATCGATGATCAAGATCGCATGAGAGAGCGTGAGTCTTCAAATTGCACTTACTCTGCGTGAAGTAATCATAATTGCCCTGCACACTGGAATCCTCGGATCCGTTATTTCCACCTGGACGCGTGTCACAGCTGAGAAAATGGAGGAAGGCGATTATTCACACGCTATCGTCGCTCGAATCTCGAGAGATTAGCGTAACATTATAGCTTACAAAATAGCGGAATTCTTGGCGATTAGGTACTCGATGTCTTTGGTCCACGGATTCCTGAAGGACTTCCACTCGGACTGCAGCCTCACGAAATTCGCGCCCTTGCTCCTAAACCTATAAATCTGCAAGCAATAATAATTTCATTATTACGCAATAATAATCAATCATCCCGAATTTTATGAGACATTCCGATTTTTGGCTCTCTAGAGGCGTGCCGAAAGTACTCTAAAAGGAACGTTATTTTTGTTCCGTTATTCTTGTTTCAATTTATTACGTAAAGTAAAATAAAATAACAAAATTTTACTATTATTCGTGTGATAAGATAAAAAGTGCATTTTATGTTGACTTCTCATTGTTTTTATCTCTCATTGATGATTGTGTCCTTCGATTTTATTTTAAGAATTTTATTAGTCTAGGTCTAAGCTAGTAATTTACATAAAAAAAAATAATAAAAAATTGTGTTTTGTTGACCTAATAATGAATAAACGTTTTACATACCTATATCCAATTTATTCATTTATTTCAAAAATTAATATGTAAAAATATATCTATATTATATATGTATAATAACTGAGAGAGAGAGAAAGAAAAAGAGGGAGAAAGGACATGTATAAATTAATATTACAAGGTATTTTGTAACCAATAAAAACATCCGGTTTTTAAGACCGATATCCCGAATTTGACTAGGAGTCGATCACCCTACTAGTCATGCGAAACACGCACCACAGAATTGTTTAGTTGTGCTTGCTTGCAATTAGCCGCGTATTACGTAGATACATCGTATTAAAAATGAAAATGCGTCGTCACGATCGGGGGAGAAACACGCATACTCAATGTCGGTATCCACGCTAAACATGTTATTAACAATGTTAATAACGATCGATTATCGTTGCAAAGGAGCGCATTGAGCAGGCGAGACTAACGGATTGATATATTAATTACCTGCGTGGTAACGCGCTCGGTGGTCTGCAAGGCGGCTTTGTGAGACTCCGCTAGATGAGGAATGTCGTCGTGGTGATAGTATTCGTACATACTGGTGCCCAGTAATTCCTGAGGTAGAAAACCCAATACTGGAGTAGCTCTGAATCAAGGAAAGATCACCTTCTTATCATCGGATCGACGAGCTTATCAACGACTCCACTCGGACGTACCGACCTTTGGTCCACGAAGAGAAATTTGCCATCCATCGCGTGTCGCGACACGAATTGTATAGGTCTCAAATGGGGCTTCCTCGACGGCAACGCGGCTGTCGATATCGCCGTTTGGATCCGGCCGACCGCGACCAGGCACGACAGATTGCAGGCCTCACCGTCGGCCTCGCCCTCTTGCTCCTCGAGGCCGATCTTCGCGGGTGCCCAGGACTTCAAGTAACCCGTGCATTGAATCACGCAGTACTTCCAATCTGGAAAATAGAATGTTGTGCTGATGCCTTTTGCTGATCGAGGCTGCGTCTGCGATTTACGGACACATCGCAATCGCGCGTTAATTACAATCGCAAATGAACGTATCGATCATGTAGGAGATGAGGGATCGTGGGAAATGCGTTATGAGAAGGCGATCGAGAATCCGCGATCGTCGGCGGGACATTTGATGAGTACATATCGGCGATCCTTTCACCGGTCACTGGCGATATTACACGTCTCCACTTTTCACCTTTGACGAGCCACGCGGCAAAATGCTCATGCCGTGTCTCCGATCGTGCGTGCGCCTTTCTTAGTGTCCGAAAGAAGACACACTCGTTTGTACCCCGTTTCAAACAGTTTCTCGCAGTCCTTTCCCGAACTGCTTTCGCTTTGCCTCTTGAAAGAAGATTGAATCCGTCATCGGAGAGTGGAGTCAACTTTTCTACGAGTCAGAGAAATTTCTTTCCAAAAAGATACAAGATTACCGTCTAAGTGTATACAACAATCGATAATATAATCAAATAACATTTCATTCGCGATATAACTTCCGCGAGAGAGATCTAGACTCGTATTATATAGTTATTGTCCGAAATTTGTCTCATATGAGATACTTAAATTTTTCTTCAGAGTTGAATCCAAGTTTCTTACAATCGAATTATGATATGTATGAAATGTATATCCGCAATCGCGATTCAATAGAAAAACTCTTATCTAACTCGGAATTGAAATCTGAGTATCTCATTTGATACGAATTTCAAGTAATAACTATCAATACGAGCTCTAATCTGAAGAGCTGTTACGAATTTTTCTCTCGCCAACGAAGAATCTTACGATTCCTCAGACGTTTGATCTTTCAAATTTCTTCGATCTTGTTTTTGCATTTGTGCTCTCCGCGCTGACAGATTCGAATCTTCCAATATAAAATTCATTCTGAATGTGCGCGCGAAACGCATGAAGCCCCGTCGATTTCGATCGCATTCTGTAATTAACATACTCACCTACGTTTTGCTGCTTCTTTCGCCTATGGCAGCCAGTAGTAGTGTCAGCTTCCTCTTTCACTTGCATCTCACCGCAACGGACTCCCTCGACCTTACGCTTCATCCGACAGAAGAAGGACCTCCGTGCACCGGGGCAAAGTCGTGATACGCCTTGGGGCACGTCAGTTTTCACCGGTAACATCGCTGAAACAATCATGATGACAGTAACAGTCTGCTTGTCACAGTTGCTCCATCCATCAACCGTCTCTTCTACGCGTTTTTTTCCTTACTTTCGTTACATTTCAATCATCACGTCGTTGTTCGTCTCTTTTTAATTTCTTCTTAACGATGCTAAGATCTCTAAAACTTATATTAATAGTCGTTACTTGGAACTCAGATTTAGACTTACAAGGAAACCCACACAAGTGTCTACCTCCGATTTTCATAAACTTATATGTTGTACTATGTTTAATATGTTATAATATGTTTAGATCAAATTGACAAATACGTTTTTTATTATATGTGCCCTTTCGCAAGTTTAGGTGGTGAAATATTTCTTTGAAGAAAAATCGGTTTTTTTCATTCGAAGGGAATATAATGAAAACTATAAGAGATAGAAAAAATATTTTGAATAAAAGTTGAATGGTTTGAAGAGTACTTTATTTGGAAAATAAACAAATTATTTGGAAAAAAAATGTTTTTGTTAATATTTCCTCCACCACTTCTTCTTATTATAATTATTAAAATACTTTCTGTAAAATATACTTTAAACCATTCAACTTTTATTCAAAATATTTTTTTTCTATCTTTTATAGTTTTCATTATATTCCCTTCAAATGAAAACAACTGGTTTTCTTCAAGGGGGGTATTTCACCCTCTAAACTTGCGAAAGGGTGCATATAATAAAAAAACGTATCTGTTATTTTGATCTGAAGTACAACATATTACAAATTCATGAAAATCGGAGGCGGACACTTGTTGGTGTGGGTTTCCTTGTTAGATTTGAGTTTGAATTCTATTCTAACAATGTGTTTGATGTATCTGAGCAGTGTTTAAGCTTAAATCTAAGTTTCAGCTACTATCGAAAAATCGGCCCTGAAGATTTCTCGAATGCCTCTAGGGTCGAAAATGCAAAAACATACGGAACGCGCGTCACGAGGTAACAGCAATCGTAGGTGGAATCCTGACATTAGATTCGATCGGCGACTCGTCTCCTCACCTCATTCAGTGCTCAGAACTTTCGCAATGGGCTTATCTAGGCACGCTAATTCAAAGATGTTTATCGACAGAGCTTACGAGCAAATGCTGCCGGACGACTGACATTTATCAGGTGAAGGTGGAAGAGATGCGCGCGAATAATTCGCGCTCGTATGATCGACGCGCCGAGCTAGGTGAGGTAACGTCGAAAGGCGCTATAATTAATAGCTTCGACGCTAGAAAGTCACCGCGGTCTCCGCGGAGAAATTATCGCTCGCGCGCAAACCCGTTCGATTTGCCACGCGGTGATTTCGAGCCGCGACGTCGCGACGGAGCAGCCGAGAGCTATCTGACGATACTCACTCTTCGCGTCGATCAGTCGCTCCCGTGGACTGAGGTCGGAGGACGAGAGCTGCTCCTTCACTTTGGCGACGTCCTTGGGATGCAAGATGTCAAACCAACTTTGACCTAGTAGATCACCCTGCGATGATATAAACATTTTGTTGACAGACAAAGTACGATTGCAGAAAAAAGAGCTTCCAAGTAATCACGCGAATCGTAATGAACATCTAAATGAATATTAACACATGCTATTACGTAAAAGATAATTTACTTATTTATTTGTTGCAATTGTTATTCGCGTGCTTGTAGCTTTTAATTTGCAGGACATGTCGACATATCATCTGAAGACGTTTCAATTACTTTCGATGTAACTTGAGAGAATCGAATTAATCCACGACGAACATTCAGAAGTGACGATCAGCTGATGAGATGGTAAATTAGAATATTACGACACGACGAGTGGCGACTGCCACTGCGCGGACATGTACTCGAGGAGAGACGTAATTTATAATTGATGAAATACACGCAGTAGACGTTATTCAGACAGAGGCTAATGATGTCACGAGCGGCGCAATTAATTTGCGATCGGACGAACACGCGCGCGCGCTTTAATGCGCAACTTGATATTTTTTCGCACGTCACATGAGGCTTATAAGTTTCGCGACGGGGCCGTAAGAAATTTGAGACCTAAATAGCGGCGTAACCCAGTACCTGAGAATAATTGAGACTCTGCGAGACGGACTCGGACACATAGAGAATTCTTCCACGATCGCAGCCCACCACGAAGACGAAGCCCTCTGCAGCCTGAAATAAAACAAGCTGCTTTCTGTTATGCTGTTGAGATTGAACATTGATTGCAATCGCGAAGATATTATTTCCAAATTCTCTGGAAAGTGCGGATTTTCTATGACAGAGAACGCGTTATTCATTACGAGCTGTTCACAAGCTGTGTTATTTTAACACTTAGAAGTGGTGAATCAGAATAGACAAAATAACACAACTGCAGTATGTTAAATTAACACATAGATATGTTAAAAATACAACATACAAATTTCTACACAGATCGATTTCAATACAATGTTTATTACCGTGCAGAGATTTAGAAAAGAATTTCGAAATAACTGTTCAGCATTTAGAAGCAACTTTTAATCGCGTATATCGGTATGCCGTGGTATTCGTGACGTTAATAATCTCAGCATCTCATATCCCGCCGCACCGGCCAGGCTATCAACCAGACAGCACAAATATCTAAAGTACGTCTCAGAGACACGCTAAAGACGTCTGAAACAAGTAGGATACCTCACAGACGTCTCTAAGGTGTCATTCAGACATTTATGCTGTACGGATAGCAGTGATCCTCGCGCGAATACAATTAACGTCTCTCTCGTTACATACTTGAAGACAAAGAGATGCGCTACTAATCACGCAGATAATCTTTCGCAATGTGCAGCATTGTGCATCGATGTGATTTAATGGTACGACTTGACGAGTCAAACGAGAGAGTCCGACGTTGCTACGCCGTTGCTACGTTGCAGCGAGAGCTGCCAACAAGGCAGGCCGATTCTTTCGTTTCGCGCGTTTATCCGGCGAAAAATATCACCCACGCGCGACATTTCATTCCCCGGACGTTCGCGCTTCCACGGGCAACATAATCGCCTCGATATCGTGAGCGCCTATCATTTATCGCGCACCAGCCAGCCGCTTAATAGCATTTCGCATTGCGTAACCCGTGGTGTGTTCATGGGGTTCGATACATCGCCTCGATCGCATGTAACATTCATTAATGTCAATGCACTCGCGCGCGGCTTAAAAACCATCCGTGTTGTCATGAACGTGTGCTCGCGCGCTCGAGTTTCGCGCTTATACACCATCCCACGTTGCTGTTTCTTATTCTGCACAGAGAAAGAATTGGTATCATTTAAAACTGATACACTCGAGTCAACAATTATTGTTTTGCAGCATAAGCAATGATACATAATTTTGTTAGAATTTTAAAATCTTGAATTTATAATTTTCCTTGAGTGTATCATAATAGTTTTATAAAAAATTTAATTTGGTTCTTTTGTTTTGTGCTTTTTATAAGTGAACATTATTTTTTACTAATAAGACAATAATAGATAAATAAGACTTTTCTTTGTTAACTCATGTAAAATGTATTCTTGCAACTTATCTAACGCTACGTAATCTCACCTGAACATTAACATGTCAAAGGTGGAGAAATATTCCAAACAAGAATGTTCTTCTTTTTCTCTGTGCGCACTGAGAGAAAAAAAGAGGTTGTTCTCTAACTACAATTATAGTTATTTTTGGTTCCAATCGTACTTTTTGGTGGTTCTAACACAAGACTGGTAACAATATGTAAGATTATTATCACTAACATCATAATAGAATCTAATTAAAAAATTGTTTTTTTGACCACAATTTATAGTTATTTTTCTGTATGATTATATGTGATTTCTATGTGATTATATAATTACAAGTATCATTTTTTCCTCAGCGCACCTACACGTTTCGCCTTCTTTTTCTGCAAGAGCGCGCAAGAGAAAGAAGTCTAAGATATCATTCGCGGAAACGTTGAGCGCCTTTCTTTCCCTCGGAGCGGAGATACCTCGGTATCGACGAACGCAATAAACGCGTGCGTCACGGCGGTTCCTGGGCTTTAAGCACGTCGTAACGATCGTAACAATTGCCGATTTTTGCCCCATATAAAAGTCACGGCGGCGAAACTCGGCGTTATCCACGGCCGGCCGGATCTCGGCGGTAATAAAACGCACCGATTCACAATGGAGCTTTAATGCCGCGATTATGCGCGCGCGCTCAGAATCACGCCGCGGTGCCGCGATCTGACTTGGTATGCCGGGCGTGGTCATTCACTCGGGTACTTTCCTATGGGGGATACGAGCGCGATCGCGAGAGCGGGAAAGACCTGATAAAAGATAAACGCGCGCGGTGTACACGCGACAATGAGAAATGCTCGACACTGGCTGAACTCGGCTCGGCTCGGCTCGGCGCGCGTTCAAACAGTGCGCCACGCCAGGGTGGTGCGGGCGTTATCGATACGCTTGCGATTGCGCAAGAGCGCAGAATCCTAAGGCGCGAATGAATAAGTAAGCGCGAGACGCGGGAGGAGAACATCCCGTTGACGTGCGTTCCAGCGGGAACTTCTCGCGCGCGCTAATTGGCTTGGAATTGAAGACGTAGGTGATTCGATAGCGCCGCGGCTAACACATGGTACTATCAGCGCGATACCATAAATCTACATGCTTCGAACCTTTCCTTTCGCCGGCACGAGACCAAGTCTCGGTAAAAATAGCGCGTAGCGCGCGGGAGAAAGGGAGTTACCCGGCAGTAACTCGCTCCGCTCGATCTCGGCGCAAAAGAATTACAAAAGATACCAATGGCCTGTTACGGCGTTCCGGCGGAAAAATTTGCGTGTCCCTAATGAATTTCCAGTTGACGTCGTGAACAGTCGATCAAGTAACTCGTCGAAAAAATTCGCGGGAGAGAGAGAGAGAGAGAGAGAGAGAGAGAGAGAGAGAGAGAGTGAGAGAGGGAGGGAGGGGAGGAAAGAGGAAGAGAGAGAGAGACAGGGAGGGAGGGAGGGAAAGAGGAAGAGATCTGGAAATATTCAACGTCAATTACGTGGAATCTCTTCTCATGTAAGTTTAAAGGAAACGCCTTTTTCTTGTTCAACGTCACATCTTGTTCAATTTTATTAGATTATGTATTTATCTCTTGCATGAGAAAATATTGTTGGAAAAATTACATTGAAATTATAATTCTTTTCATAATATTCTTTACAGAGCTGGACTATGCTAAAATTGTAGTCTAAATTACTATGGAAATGTAGTCTAAATTACTATGGAAATAGTAAATTTGGTCAAATTTAGTGAAAGAATTTAGTAAATTTAGTAAATAAAGTAGTAAATGACCTGAGATACAAAAAACATTTGCAAGCAATTGTGATAGTTTTGTAATAAAATATCAAACATATTTCTAATATTTTTAAATAAACTTACAGTAATTTTGGTCATGATTCTCTATGGCCCAAGATTACAAAAATGTCTCTTGTAATTTCTACTACAACATTTTCTTCGCATGTGTATGTGAGTGTGCTCTACTCTGTCGCGAAAAATCAATTAATAATTTTTTCATGCCAAAAGTCATTTCCGTTTTTACGGAAATTTATTTATTCGAATTGTGAACTCACTTGAAGTATGAGTGTTTTGAGTTCCTGGTCACTGAGAAACGCGGGCTTGTAGTGGCCTTCCGTGTACGAGGTGACGGCACCGAGGATGGTCTTGAGATGCTGCACCGCCATTCGCAGTACAGTCAGCTTGTCCAGCTTTCGCGACATCGCGTGACACATTGGCACCATCGCCGACAGCTCGGTGATGTACGTGTTCATCTTGTCTCTCCTGCGCTTCTCGATTTCGCTGTGGTTCTGCCTGAATATGCGACGGAAAATCGCAGATTATAATTCCATTCGACACAGGCAATGCGCGCATAGAGTCTACGACCTCTCGAGGAGGCCCTGAAATAAGCGCGCAATCTATTATCTATGTAAAACTTAATGAGACAGGACCTGGTCTCCTAGGAAATTGCAAGACTCGTAATACGAGATCGTGACTGGAAATTACGTTCTCGATAGCAAGTCAAGTCGGTATGTGCGGACTCGCTAACGGCACGTTAATATTAAGATCGAAATCTCAGAGGTATTTTTCGTGTTTTCTTTGTTAATTAACACGATATGAAATCTTCGATTAGTATCCTTTATCCTGAAACACCTCCGTCGTATAACGTAACTCTCACGATTGTGTGAGGTGGAATTCAAAAGTAAAAACGTTTCATAAGCGTTCCGGCGCCACAAAATACGGATAATTATGCAGACACTCGACACTTCTGTTTACAGTTTAGTGAATTTTCTGCTCTTCCGTCTCCTTCTCGTCTACATGCGATCTCGAGCGCGGACGATTAAATGTCGCATGGATTCTAGTTGCGCCTAATCGTCCTTTCGTGCAAACAGATCGGAATTCGCGGCATTTCCGCACGATCGAACGACGCAGTCACCGTACTCCGCCGACTGCGGCGAATTTTTCTCAGCGCGGAACGTCTGATTCATGATCGCGCATGCGTTTTCAACCGAAATCGTTGACTTTCCTTCACTCGCAGGGGATACGGCGAGGTCGAGCGCCTCGGCGACGCCGACGGAGATCGGCAACGAGGCCGTGTGTCAATTGTGCGGGGCGATTCAACCCGTAAACGACGCTTTTCAGAGCGCGCGCGCGCCCGCGCCACCGCTGATTTGTCAGGCAAGAATTCGCATTCATATCGCGCGGAGATCAATTGGTCAGCGGAAATCGCCGCGGCGAGAAACTGGTTTCGGTTAACTGTGTGTCGGGCCATGCTCGCGTAATTTCATCCAGATCCGCGCGAACGTATCGTAATACGTATCGTAATATCCGCTGGACTTTTCACGCCGCGTCAGCGGATCCGTACTACGTAAACAGCGGCCTGAAGAACTAGGGTTTTAAATCGCTACCGATAGTCAAACATATGTCACATTCGTAGAAAGATTCATATATTACGTCAATGATATATTTCAACACTCAATCGCGTAAAAAATAAAATATCACATGTTACGAAAATATCTCGGGAAAAGATCCGAAAGCACTGCCGAGAGGTGAGGCTCTATGCTGCATCTATGCTGAAGAGAATTAGTAAGATATCTGGAAGAAAAGATATCTAAGAAACCAAAATTATTTATTCCGTATTAATAATATGTTTACTCATGCTAATATAAAATATTTGTCATGTGAAAGAACATGTATTCTTGAAACCTTAGCTTCTTATGAAAGTAATCGTTCGATCTATTTGATCTATCATCTATTTGAATGAAAGTATTTATTATAGTAAATGCGTTGTTTACCCACGGAATAAGTGTTCTTTATCTTTTAGATATTTTTTCTGTTAATGCATAGGATTGTTCAAATCGCTGCCAACAGCCTGTTACGACAGATTCATATATCATATCGATTGAATATTATTTCAATATTCAATTGTGAATAGTGAAAAATAAACTGTCACGAAAATGTCCGAAACATCTCTGAAAGACATCCAAAGACGCTGGCAGTCTTGAGACGTTTTCTTTCGGATAAACCCGACGTCTGACTGTAGATTCGTGATTCATTCGGTCATTTGGTTTCTCAATCCATCGTGCGCCGATCGTTACCGCGAAAATAGAGAAGCGCGAGGCGAACGAATCGAAAAGGTGTCGCAATCGAGCACGCGCGCTCAGAGCGGCTCGCATCGCGACGCGACAAGTACATTGGATTAGTGACGTCGCCGATGAAGCCAAAGCAAAGAATCGAGGTAGGTCAAGGTGGCATTCACCTTGGCAATATCTGACATAACACCACGTAACCGCTGACCGAGGTGGCGTTAAAAGCTCGAATCGATTGAATCGCGGCGCAATGACTCAATCGGAAATCGCAATATCCCGATGGTTTTTCCCGGCCTTTCGCCGGCGCGTCGCAATACATTGTGCACTTACTTTTTGCTGTCGTCATTTGTGCGAACAGATTTGGCATCGTCCCCTAAGTCGTCCAACAGATCGCTTCCAACGCTGAAACAGACGCGGGTAGCTTCTTCAACGAGGTGTCACTGGCGGGAAGATTAATTGTCCGGTGTTGAGAGTGACGTGTCAGATACAGACAAATTAATATCGCGAGTCAATCAAAGAAGCGGCGTCAGTAATATTTATTTGCTACCATTTATCGGTTTCTCAGAAGTTAAATGTTACGTTTGCACGTCAGTTTCTGTCTCCGTCCGCCTTAACGAGATACGCATACAGGTGTCTTGCCAATTTGCCGACGAACGCGCACGGCAATCCGAGCAATCCAAGCGCGTAATTGACGAAGTCCCTCCGCGGCCAGTAAATTCGGTCGAAACATCACAGAGAAACAATTTCTTCGGCGTTGGCGACCTTCACGGAGGGTGTTACCCCTTTGACGGCGAATTTCGTCAAGTTTCGTCCGCGGTAGAGCTTCCCCGCTTCTTTTGTGTCATGAGCTCGGAGAGTCACGCTCGGGTTTCTCATTCTCGCGGGGAAACGCGAGCCGGCGAATGCGATCTCCGCGTCACAGAAGGTTCCGTGGAGAACGAGAAACGCGTGTAAATATTTATGGGAGAGAAAAAAAAGAGGAGACGTATATCGACGCACGTTCGACGCGGCAGCGAGTTCTTAGGTCGAGCACGCATTTATCTTTGGTATGACAATTGTAGCACACTTCTGAGTTGCGATGGCGTAAAAATAAATATCCGCGTCGTAAATTATCGTACCTAAGTCTTCATCATGAGCTGGATAAAAAAACATGACACACGGATGATGTAAGCGCCGAGATATCGTCGCTCGACCACGATATTCGACGTCACGTCACAAGTGCAATTTTCGAGTGACGTTGCCCGGTAAGCGTGTACAGACCGATAGCCGCGGTCAAAAGCAATAGAAATAATCACCGATGATGATTTCGACCAGATCTCTACGGGGTAGAACCCTAACGGGGTTCACACCATAACGGAAAGGATATTCTCGAAGTGTTTATTATTGCATTGTCATTTGTCTTATTGCCTTATTGTCACTTAAATAATAACTAATTACACTAATTAGAACATTTTTCTGCCCATCACATCGTAAAAAAAAGTAGTGAATACCGTTACAATGAACACATGTATACAATACCTAGACTGCTAACAATTGTAGGTGTACGGTCGAGAAATTGATATGAGGTATGTGATGGAGGTAAATGCTGATGGGGGTGGCAACCATATTTCAAAAAGGCATGTATGGTTAATCGATTCTAATTGAGCAACTTGGAAATCAAAGCTTATGATATTGTCAATTTTTCGTGTGTACTATATGCTCTTTAAGTATTGGGTCCTTTTTTACATTCTGTATATGCTTATTTTTCGAAATATGGTGATGAACTTATCTGTGAGTAGGCCTGATAGTAGTCCAGGTATTATACAGAGCCTATGATTTCGACCGATCTCGGAGTTCTTCTCTCTGGAGAGTGAGAGAGAGAGAGAGAGAAAGAGAGAGACGAGGAAGAGAGACAAATCTTCCGTTCTCTCAATGATTAAGTTAACCCTTTGATTGCGTACCCGACACTTTGATTAGTAATTACTCGGAACTACTCTAACGTCTAACGCGAAACATCTCGAAACATTGGCATCGATGAGTATCGGGAGAGGGTGACGGGAGAAGGGATAGCAGTTGTTGCCAGGTTGTTTGCATACGGTACATGAAATTCCAGACTTGGCGGATACATTTGGAAGGCTTCGTTTCCTCGAACCTCCTTTGGAACGCGTGTTCCTCGCGCGTCGTTTTAATGCGTAATATTTCGATACGACTTCCAGCTACGTGAGATGCGAGAGCTGTTGACGATTTGTGATGAATGCAACATTCATCGCCCGCCACCGAATTTACATTTAAAGACCCGTTGTAAATCTAACGAACGCCGTTATGAGATGCCATCATCATGCTCGTTAGTTTCTCCGAGGCATCGCGATCCCCGGAGGTATTTCGATAAGTTATTGGCTTGAACTTACTGGCAGGAAAGCTTCCGCTTTCTGGGCACCGGTGCGAACTCGTTCGAGATGTCAGTCACCGGTCCATGGCTAGGCGTAGTGGACGCGCTACGATGGTGCCGATGATGATGATGATGATGGTGATGGTGATGGTGATAGTGATGGCCGGAGGCGGGTGCCTGGTCGGGGACCATCGTCGGGGGTGTCTCCATGTGCTGGGGCGGTTCAGCCCCCGTTGCGACCTGAGGGATGGTGGCGGTGCTGGTGGAGGTGGCGGTGGTGGTGGCGGTAGTGCTGGTGGTGGTGGTGCTGGTGGTTATAGCGGTCGCGCTTGGGCTGTTGGGGGTGGCGGTATTGCTGCTGCTGTTGCTGGCGGGGGTTGGAGTCGGGGCGAGACCTTCGCCACCCCCCGCCGAGGCGGCGGTTAACTCTCCCACCCCGGAACCCGTGCCTATTTCGCCAAAATAAACCGTGGGACAGGAACTTCTGGAAGTAAGTTTCAAGATTAGAAGAACGGAATGAGAGAGAAATGACGTTTCATCGGCGGAAACGAATTGCCGAGAATGATTGACGTTACGCTGCAGAGGGACTTTGCCAAATTGCGACACTGCGAGCCCAAAATGTCGTATTATATGTTTATAATCAGTCTTTCTTTCAACTTTTTTCATGCATATAAGACAATTATACAGAGTGAAGCGATAACTGTTACCACCTTGAATGTTTCGAAATCGTAAAACTTTCGTGCTATTTCCTGACATTGTTTGAAATAGCGGGGATATTCAAGGTGGTAAATAGTTATTGCTTCACACTCTATGTCTGTCATGCCGTGTAATATATCACCAGAAAGTAACCGTGATATGTACAATTAAAAAAAAAATGTCACTGATATATCACTTCATGTGTTATTACTTGCAATGCCGAGAGAGAAAAGAAACGTTCAGGCATAAACGGTCTCAGGCATGCCGTTTAAAGATAAAATCGACGTCTCGTTAGAGACGTAATAATAAGTGCAGACCGACCGTGTTCGTGGAACACGAAGTAAAATTTTCCCGATGCCTCGAGGTGGTCTCGCACGCGTGAGAAAAGTCCCCTCAAACCATATGTCCGATCTCTCGTAATTATTACAGCGGAAGGATTATATAATCGAGAGAGAGAGGTCGATTGATTTGTTGCGCTATTCTATGCGTGCCGGGTGATTATACAAATTCCTTATCATTATCTTCTCTGTGAATACGAGCCCAGTTATCGGCTGGTTCTTTTTCTTTCCCTTTTCTTCGAACGTTTTTAAAATTCTGAGCGCGCGATACGGCAAAAGTTACGACTGTATGGGAGCGTGTAGCGTTTTGCATACAGATAATCACTAATCCGGCGTACGGGGCGTATAATATATAGTTGTGGCAACGTCAAGTCCGGGAGTACTGAACTATCGTCATCGATCTCGCGATCTATGGCTCCTACGAGCGATATCGAACCAATCTCCCGATTTGTCTCACACGCTCGGTCGTACATGAGACCTTTCGTCGTCGCGCCGATTAAATCTCGTGCGCGCAGTCGCCTCGTAAGCGGAATCTGCAAGCGTGCAAGGATACGACGCACACGAGTTATGCGTTACACGCATTACCAAAGCTTTCGCGGATGCAACCGTGACGAAAACCTCGACAGAATTTTCCTCGAGTCCGGAAGAAAGTGGAATATCGTCGTTTATCTTTACGTTGTTCGCAGCCAACCGTTCTTTTCCGAAAGATGAGACAGAAAAGAGAACGAAAAACGGAAGATCAAGGTCTGCCGGCTATCACGCCATCAGCGTGCAGATAATTTCGTATATTATGATGTAATGCAGGCGATTAGCGTAATTCTATTTATTCGTAGATATAGAACGACAATGTATACGACACCATCGCGACACGACGACGTCATGCAGCATGAGACGCGGGAGCTCGAATGCATCGCGTACCTGCTCGAGGTACAACTGCAGCAATTTTGTGAATCTAATAGAGTTCCTGCGTTATGGACTTTCTACAATAAGCCGTCAGTCAGAAGTCAAGACCGAGTTGTAAGCAAGCCACTAGTATATCATGAGGCAATAACAAGTTGGTAATCAGTGACTGCACGGAGATGGCTAAATTCCATTTCTTACAGTTCAAAAATCATGATTACTTTATAACTAAGCAATCAGAGAGCAATGTATGTCCGCAATCTTTATCGAGAGAACTGACCAAGGGCCGTATTCTTGACGTGTACTCAAAAGACAGGTGCGTCCTTTTCATTCTACGTTTCGTTTTTCCTACAAGATTGTTTTAGCTTGAAAATCAGAAAGGCAGCGTTCAAATATGTATCAAGAATATAGTCCCAGAACTGACTGGAAACTATCTTCCTTCTGATTGGCTGAAAGATCGTGTTGCAATGATCTACTACGACTTAGTATGCATACAAGTTTCCTGAGATTAATATTTCTTCCAATTAATCTTTCTTATAATTTTTATATCACCAGTGTCATATGAGCGATGACTAATGTCAGAAAGTCCATTATGTGTAACATTTCTGGAGCCTTATTCTAGATACATAACGAACGTTGAATGTGCCTTTTTAATTCTAATTTCCGTTTTACTCATACGGACGTCATATATAACATTATAACTCAGCTTGAGAATCAGGTAGGCATAATTGCATTCGATATGCGTCCCCTGCGAATATACACGGCCCCTGTTCGTCGACACGGCTAATTTGCGACGTGGGCGATTTAACCCAGTCACTTTAGCAAGTCGTTCCTCCGGGCACGCGTCTCTGAATCCCCCCGTCTACCTGTCCCATGCAATTCGTACTCTCGTGATGATTATATAATAACGACGAACACGCGGCTTATTCATGCGAGACGATATATATAAGAACTCCCCATGGCGCGAGACGAAGCGACGTGACTCGTCGTTGTTGCTCGTTTGACTTTTCCCGAGCTGCAACTTTCGTCGAGAGCGCGCACGAGCGAGCCGGATCACGGTCTGATCGCACTTACAGTCTGATCGCATTCGCCAGGCTTATCAAGGTAAATCGCCAATTATACACGCTGTTTACCTACTCGTGCACACTCGATACGCCGCGCGAACAAATTCACTTCGCAGATGAACGTGGCGCGCGAGAAAGTGCATCCGATCGGGAGATAAACGCATTTCGTTTGCTGGCGCCGCGAGACAATGATAAAGATGCATTGCGCAATAACCACGCGCGCGTGCAAAATGTCGGGCATCGGGCCGCGACGGCGTGTGAGAGCGGCAAAGGGAGAAAAAGGGAGAAAGGATGGAAAGCGAGAAGCCCCCCATAGGTGAGCCCGCCGTTACGTTGCGCCACGGTGATCGGCAACAGCCGGCAGCAACGTGCCGATAGCTGCGCCAAAATCGGCAGTAGCCCGCGGAGACAGCAATTAATCGATACCGATCGTTCGATACGTCAACAACGCTGGAAGGCTTGTTAAATCCGCGTCACCGTTAATCCGCTACCGTGCGCCGCGCACTATTTGGACCCGTCAGAGCGTGAATGTTGAATCGTCGTTGACTGACGCAGGCCTTCTGTCTTATTCAGAACTTAGGGATTTATGGACTTATTTAAAAAATTAATTAATAACCAATTAACTCGACACTGACTCCATACTATATCATTTCGTTTTAAGATCACAAAAGAAACTTAAAAAAAATTTTTAAGAACTTCCAGAAAGCTCTAAAAAGTATAAAGTAATTTTCAGTTGATATTTCTGTGCGCTTACAATATCACCCTAATACTTCAACGATAGATTAGAAGTCGTCGCAAAAATCTGACTGATTCACAGCTTAATTATTATATTGTACGCTAGTTTGCGTAAAGTTCTTCAAAAAAGAACAGGCCCAACAACGGCACAGTCGAACTTACTCTTGCACGGTTGAGAGATTATAGTAATTCCGTTGCTGCTGTTGCTGTTGCTGCTGATAGAGCTGCGAAGCGGACGAGGCGATTTGCGCGCAGGTGTCGTGCACACGATGGTGCTCTTGATGAACACGCGGCTGCAACTCGTCCAGCGAGATGAACTCCTGCGGCTCTTGGGCCGTGTGAAGGAGCTGCGTGTAGCCCTGTGCCATTTCCTGCACGACCATCTCCTGTCCTGTGGACCCGCGGAAACGCAGGAGATCGTCCAGCTCCGGCTCGGGTTCCGGCGGTTGGTGCTGCTGTTGCAGCTCGCGATGGTGATGACGATGGTGATGATGGTCGCGATGATGGGGATGATGGTGATGGTGGTGATGATAGTGGAGGATGCGATCGTTCACGCGGGCGCCATCGCCCGCGACCACCGCGTCATTCTCGACGACGCCACTGCTGCTGCTGTCCGGTAGTAAACCACCCTCGTCTGAGGAACGACAGAGAAGAGCGGTTGTCGGCTATCTGGAGGTGGGATTCCCGGAAGGAGAGGTTCGAGGAACGCTCGCGACATGCGGAAGTGCCTCTTATCTCAGCGATAATGGATCTGAGGATCCATCCCGGAACTTGCGAAGTGAACTGGCAACTTTGTGAAAAACCATCGGCCACGCGACTGGTTTCCCTTCGCCGATCGCTTCCTCACGGCAGTCCGACACGGCGTAGGAAAACGCGACGGCGTTTATTATAATAATGAAACGAGACTGTGCGCAAAATAGAGCGGCGTTTCCGTTTCGTCAGGAGCGTTATTAGATCCTTACGTGACTCGCGCAAGTGCGCAGCGCGATCGGCTTGCGGGGCGCTCGATCGCGCCGAAGAGCGCGAGAAATTTGCGTAATGTTAAACATGGTGAGCCATTATCGGGGCAATCATCTCGGTTAAGGCGTAATTATCCACTTGCGAGTCCGTGTCGATGCAAAGCGCAAAAGCGACTTTCCAAACCAGCAGACTCTCATTTAAACGACCGACGTTTAATTTCTAATGCGCCGATGTTGGTGAATGCCGCGCGTTGACGTGGCTCTTTCTCGCGGCCATCGACTAATTATGAAAAGGAGAATCGACATATAGGAGCCACTCGAATCTCTTTGTCACGACGACGCGTAACGCGTTACGGATCCGACCAAGAATTCGCGAAACAGTACTCTTTTAAAGTGAATCAGTAAATATGCTTCGAATTGAATTAGTAATATATTCATGATAAAATCAGTAAAAGGAGTATTTCATTGACAATCGGTGAATATTCCCTGATTTTCAGTGAAACTGAACAACACTTCCACTTTACCGCTCCATCTTTATTAATTCTGACCGCAGTGAAAGCATGATTTCACTGAAAAATCTGTAGTGCTAAAGAATTTGTTATAAGCCAATTTTCAGGCGTGTACGGTTTCTATGCGATTTAAGTGCAATATTATCCGTGTTTGCAAACCGTATCAACAATAGTCACTCTTGTTAACCGACTCTTTCAGCGAGATTTTACTGATTGCAGCGCTATTCTCATAACTGAATCACTCAGTTACGAGTAAAGCATCCCAGTGAAGAATACACCGATTGTACTTCAGAGATTGCAACGTATCGTATGATCTCACACGCACAGAATGAGACGAACAAACAAATCTGTCGCGCGGACGATAATCCCCGGCCTTGAGCGACAACGCGCCAATGTCACGATCGCGGATGCGGCCGGGCACGTATTGTGGGATACCCGCGGCTCCGGAATGCGCCAACTACCGTCAACAGCACGTAGAGAAGCGTTAACGATGATGCAATAACCGTTTGTCACCGCACGTTGCCTCGTGCACGAGGAGGCAAAGAGCGGGAAGAAAGGCTTCCACGTCTCCTGGAGCGTAGGTCGCGGGGGCGGCGGCAGACAGCAATCCGCAAGAGGATCGCGGCAGGTAAATTGCGCGACGGCAAACGTCAGCAAACGAACGGCAAATGCGAAAGGTTAATTCCCCGCGCGGCATTAATATACTTGTCCGTTCGAAAAATTTCGCGCGCGCCGGTTTGCTCATCGCTCGCCGAACTCGCTCGTGAGCGCGTTACCGACGAGGAAGACGCGCTCACAAAGGGACCTTGCGCAATCGGCTCCAGATCCAGCTGGGCAGAAGACGGGCGGACGACGAAATCGGCAATTAATCAACGGCGGCTCGCGCGAACGTCCGTGGCGAGTCGCACGTGTCTTCGGACGCGCATTAATTGCTACCTCTTCCCGCTCGCCACCGGTTACCGAGGCAATTCCGCATTTTTATGGCATTTCGCGCTCGAGCTCGCGTCGTATCGCTGCTCGCGGCTTATTACGCGGCCCGGACAGCGACAGCTCGCTCGCTCCGAGGAACAAGAAACCGTGCGGCGAATGGACGTTCCTCCTCCGAGGCTTCGGACCCGGTTCAAGACGATTCGAGAGTCTGACAGCCGAGGTTCTTCTCCCTTTCTCTCTCAGTCTCTCTCCCTCTCTCTTTCTCTCTTTTTCTCCAATCGGCGTGCCAGTTCCGGGGTGAGAATGTGGGCCGCGATGGGCGCGAAAAAGAAAGAGAAATTTCTTCTTCTGGGAGTAATATCTCAGACGTGTCTTCGTCGAGACCGGTAACCGGCGCGTGTTGCTAAATACGAACCCGTTCTCATGGCATTCGTAGTGCCGGCACTTTCATTCATAAAATAAAAGCGCACAGGATGCCGAGGGTTGAGAGGACTTTAAGTGCAATCCCGCGCGAAATGCAAGTGACTCAATTGAGCCTCGAGAAGCGCGTAATGCGTTGCATTCGCGCCATTCCCACCGCATTAAGGTAATATAATTGATGACGACTGATCATCAGTAGTAACACGCGTGTCGGTCGCAATCGCTGTAAACCTCGTTGAGAATTTGCGGGACAGACGTCGCCGACTAATTGACGGACTGTCTGTTTCTCTTTTTGATTTTCCTCGGGATTCTTCTGTCTCACAGAAGACCCGCTAGAAGAAAAGGCTCTCTACCCCGTTACGACCTCGACAGGGCATCGATGATTTCTCATTGTGTATTGGCGATCATGCCGCGCCGCTCACATTGGCGAGCATGTCAACGATCAGTGCTCGCGGTTCACCGCACGATGATCGAGGGAATACTGGAGCGTCGCGTGGAATTGCTACGGAGATTCACGTGCATTATCGATGTGTAAGCGGCACCTTGACTTGGCATCTGATAAAACGTCTCGGGAGGCAATCACGTGACGATTAAGATAATAGCGACAATGACATTCTCCAGGCGGCGCCGTAACAACGCGTGACCTTCGATAGCGCCGCGTTTTATAACGTGCAACAACAACGAGTCTTTATCAATCCGGAAGTTGCGATGACACCGTCGCAGCGACGACGGCCCGACGAGGCAATTGTTACCTGTTGCAACTCGCGACGATCGAAAGGGAGAAGATGATAACGCCAAGGCGCTTTGCCTCAATAAGACGGCGTTGTCGGCAAACCGTCGAATTATCCTTCGTACTCATACAATGCACAGTGCTCTCCCTCTTTCTCTCTCTTTTCTCTCGTTTACGCCGATTATCGAGCGGCGATCGCGAAACGAAGGAGACAAAGGGGAGGAATTCTAGGGGAAGACGCTCTTTGTGATTCCAGATGGGGGAGCCGACGCAGTGAAGCTACCGCGACGCGGATTTCGCGGCGCCGTGGCGGCGACGAGGGAAGCCGCGCGGTGGTGGCACCTGAGACGACGAAAAAATTTCAGCAATGTGATACGCGTCCGATGGTGCGTCGATGAAAATCGTATCATACGATACGTGGCCTGATGACGGCGTACAATGTCACTGACACAAGCTTCTCATGGGAGAAAGCACGGGATTCGATGAAGAAGCATGTTTCTTTTGCACCCGCCACTTTGCCCGATTCCCGCCAAGATCTACCATCAAATTCGCGTTATTAATATAATAGGTTGCAAAATTCGGCTTAGACACGATGAAATTGGGAAACCCATCAAACTGATGGGCTCTTATTCAGTAATTATATTATTAAATAATATTAGTATTAACGATTATTAGTGTTATTATTTATTTATTATTATTCAGTATTCTTAATTATTATATTATTATTGCGCGCCAGTCCGTCGATAATGACTCTCAGTTTTTTGGTTTGGTGAGCTTCCAACTTCATTGTGTCTGAACCGTTTTGCAATTAACTGTGCACTTGGTATAATGAATTCCCGAATTTTACTAAATCCAAAGTTATTAGACATTTTCGACCAGATGCATTCATTTTTACACACATACATTCATCATGACTGTTATTTATCCAAGGAATTGGGAACAATGTTTGAAAGCAGATATAACAATTTGACAGTTTGAGCTTTAATTCACGTAAAATAACGTTTCGTCCGCTTATACGCAAATAATCAATAGTAAAGTGATACAATATAGTGAGAATATGTTTAAAAAACAACGAAAATAAAATTATATATTTTTCTTTTTGGTGAATGAGAGGATGAAAACATTAACTTACTAAGTCTCAAATCAACAATCATGATGAATACGTCGGTAGAAACAAATAAGTCTGGACGAAAATGTCGCATAATTCTCGATCTAGTGAACGCGTGAACATTTATGACGCCGAGTGCATGTCGAGAAAGAAAAACTAGAAACTTTGCCTCCGTGAAATAACAGTTAGTTTCACAGAAACAAACTTCATATCCCACAAAGAAATCTTCGTGTATCTCTCTTCTAATGTCGACGTCGCGAGACTGTCGTGTATCAATGCGCGATAACGATTTAATCCGACGGGAGTATAGCGCGGCAAAGTAACACGGATTATTGGCATCGATTACTACTATCGAGGCGGTCCGGTAACAATAGTCTAAGTAGACGACGAGTGACACATATAGTGCTTAAGGAAATCGACAGGTGTTGAATAAATCTCGCGTGCATTAATCACCAGCGCTTACGCGACACGCGCAACGTCGAGCAAACAGTTAACGGAAATTGCGTGGCACGCCGCAAATTCGCTACCCACTCGACGACACTCCAGGAGAAGAGAATCACCGAAGCACACGCGATGCGACCTTGCTCCGCGAGACGCGACAGTGAAAACCTCGACCATAGGATTACCAGCACTCCGCACATCGCGAGGGTTACGCAAGGATCATCGTCCTTACCGAGAAGCGTGTACATCCACGTCGTCGCCGACGACGAGGAGGCGACGGCATCCTCGAGGAGGCCAGAAGGCCCGTCGCCTTCCCTCTTGGCAGGCGATGCCCTCGTACTTCAAGGGTGCCTCCCCCTCAACGGCGACGACGACGATGTCAACGACGACAACAATGATGACGACGACTACGAAGTCGTGCCGATCGCTAAGGACAACACGACACGACTCGCTTTGTTCACGTGAACTTCCTGGTCGCCACGTGTGCCGGCGCGAACGTTTAGCCGCTGGTGGCAGAAAAGAGACGACCAGCGGCGATTGACGTCGATCTTGCCAACGACGTTTCCCCACACGACGATTTTCTCGACGACACGTCGGTGCTCGCGACGACGGCGGTATTATTAATTGGTGATGGTGTCACCAACTTCTCTTCCTCTCTCGTAATCGCGACAGACACCACTCGTCGACAGACGCGTCGTTCGTTTGACACTGAGAGCGCGGGCGGGTGGTGGAGACGCCTCCGCCGATGATGCTGATATCGACGACGACGACGACGACGACGACGACGACGACGGTGGTGGAGAGGTGCTCGTCAGAGCGGTACCTGAACATAACCGGCGGATGTGTACCACGTGGTCGCGTGATACCGACGCAGGTGGGAGTGACTAAAACCGCCCTGCGCCGAGGAGTCGCCCCCGCGACGAGGAGTCGCGGCAGGTACCTGTCGCCACCCCCACGCACCTCGCAGCCGCGCCGGCGGGGAGGATGTTGCGGGAATTCTTTCGGTCTCTTCATCGCATCTTCTTCGCCCGGTGAATCGATCAGTCGTGGAGGTGAAGGGGTATCATCCGCCGGAATGAGAAGGGTGATGAGAATGCGCGACGTAGAGAATATGTGATGGAGATCGATCGAGGTTTGGTGCTTATGGGATTCAGGCGCCACGATTTTGTGTTTGAGTGCAAGAGCCTTATAGGCACTTTGTGGTCCGCTTTCGCACTCTCTGTGGGGATGAACGGCCGCATGACCGAGGAACCTCTTTTACGGCTGCGCTTATTTCGAAGGAATTATACGTGAAAATTTTCTTTTCTTTTCATTTATTTATAAAAATCCCCGACTATCACAGGTAGATTTCAAGAACGCACAAACTTAAGTGGTATCTAAAGAGGTGACTACTCTCTTTGCATATATATTTGCACATCTAGTTTTATATATACTGCGAGAAATTTCGTTTGAAATTTGGATTCACATTTTGCATGTCCCAATTCGCTCCAGTCTTTATGTTAATTTAACACGAGGAAATCCAAGATTAGATTCGTCTAATAAATTTTGTACTTTTGATCATGTAAGTCACATTTGCAAGCTTTTTACTTGTCTGATTACGCCTTGTACGGGCTCTTATCGGTCTTATCAGTTAAACATTCCATGAAAATTCACTTGCTAGTAACACGAGACCCTAATATCATATATCTTCAAATATTTTTGCGAAAAGGCACGAAGGGAGCGGCCGGTATGTTTCGCCGCGATCGTTCCTCGCGTAACGCAATTTCTTATTTATCTCGTCGTTACTTTATATTAGACGGAACAGTCAGCCTTCGACCAACCGGTTTACCTTTGCGTAGAATTTACTTGGCAATAATGATAGAGCCGTCGCGCTATGCGGTGCCACATGCGATAAATTTTTAATAATCGTCCGATCATAAGCGTCTGCGTTCCTCATTCGCGACGCGGGGCTAATAGGAGTACTTTCGTCATTTACTGATGTTGATTATTGGTATTTAGCTATCGCCGGTTGCGCTAACGGTGTGCCGATATTCCCGCTTGGAATCGTGTCAACAATGTTGACAGCACTGTGTCAACTCGACTGTTGACACTGTCAACTGTCTGTTGACATATATGACTGTCAGAGTAAATCGCGCATTTAAATGATCTCCCGTCAGACACATATGAGTTTTAATAACGATGTGATTAAACGATGAACCTAATTATTAGATTGGTATGGCAACTAAAACGACATTTTTTCATATCGTTTAATGACAAAAAATAAGTGTAATCTATTTCGCGAATGAATATATCGTCAAGGTCGAGCTGAGTCTATATTCAGGCACGTATGAGTCAAAAACGTATAAGTTTTAATAACAATGTGATTAAACGGTGAACCTAATTATTAGGTTGGTATGGCGACTAAAACGACATTTTTTCATATCGTTTAATGACAAAAAATAAGTGTAATCTATTTCGCGAATGAATATATCGCCAAGGTCGAGCTGAGTCTATATTCAGGCACGTATGAGTCAAAAACGTATGAGTTTTAATAACAATGTGATTAAACGATGAACCTAATTATTAGGTTGGTATGGCAACTAAAACGACATTTTTTCATATCGTTTAATGACAAAAAATAAGTGTAATCTATTTCGCGAATGAATATATCGTCAAGGTCGAGCTGAGTCTATATTCAGGCACGTATGAGTCAAAAACGTATAAGTTTTAATAACAATGTGATTAAACGGTGAACCTAATTATTAGGTTGGTATGGCGACTAAAACGACATTTTTTCATATCGTTTAATGACAAAAAATAAGTGTAATCTATTTCGCGAATGAATATATCGCCAAGGTCGAGCTGAGTCTATATTCAGGCACGTATGAGTCAAAAACGTATGAGTTTTAATAACAATGTGATTAAACGATGAACCTAATTATTAGGTTGGTATGGTGACTAAAACGACATTTTTTCATATCGTTTAATGACAAAAAATAAGTGTAATCTATTTTGCGAATGAATATATCGCCAAGGTCGAGCTGAGTCTATGTTCAGGCACGTATGAGTCAAAAACGTATGAGTTTTAATAACAATGTGATTAAACGATGAACCTAATTATTAGGTTGGTATGGTGATTAAAACGACATTTTTTCATACCTTTTTGCCTAATGGCAAAAAATAAGTGTAATCTATTTCGCGAATGAATATATCGCCAAGGTCGAGCTGAATCTACATTCAGGCATTCATGCAACCTACCAGTGAAGCAAGCCCGACATACTGACCAATATGTTGACGCAACACCCTGCTCATTTTCTTTCTCAGAGAAAAAAGACTGATCCTAAATATCTCTAATAAAAAGATTGAAGAATACGACTACTGTTGGTAGAGAACGTAAACTACCGTTAGAAAATGGCAAAGCATGCGCACACATATAAATATCCACGATCATTATCAGCGAGCGTTCGGATCGCGTCGTGAGGACGACGATTGTCGCCGCGGTGACTCGCGGAATTTCCACCACGTCGTGTTATTTCGAAGTTGCAAAGACTCTCTATGCGCTTCTTTCGAGCCGCAGATCGCGGAAAAGACGTACACGAGCGCGATGTCCGTTTCTATCTTCCTCTCTCCCTCTTTCTCTCTCCCTCTCTGTCCTCTCTCTCTCTCCCTTGTCTACATCTACCTTACTATCTACCATACTACATCTCTACCTTAAACCGACTGTCGAGATCTCGCAAGCGAGTGAAATGCATTGTACTAATTAGCGCTAATTACATACAGACTAAGCCCGCACGCAGTCGCATCTAGACCGGCCGGCCGTTTGTAACGGAGCGGTAATTGTTATCATCAATACGCTCTGCGCGACGGTCCGATTTACGATCGGCATTGACGTTTGAAGTGACCACATGCTCCCGATCCCCCGGCTAAATCTGCCTCGTCCACTCATTAGCGTGATTTTTCGGCGGATCAGTCCCCCGTCGATTAATTTACAGTGATTTCGCGCGCGTTGTCCGCGTTCCATGCGCTTATCCAATTATTCCCTCCCCGGAGAAGCGCGGCGCGTTTTCAATAATAACGATCTTCGACCTTTGTTAGTGCTCACCGCGGCAAAACCGCGACAAGTACGAAATTTAAAAATAAAACGAGTGACGTGTTTTTTTCTTTCTACTCTCTTTCTCTCTTTCTTTCTCCCTCCCCCCTCTCACTATCTCTTTCTCTCTCTCTCTATCTCTTCGTTTGTCCATTTAACCTTTACTGTCAGGACGATGCGATTTATGCACGCGGAAAAAGTTTCTGGTTAACTTTAATATTCTGATAACTTCGATAAAAAAATTACTTTCTGATTCGTTCATGTTTCATCAGAAATTGGTTAATCCAACCGAACTTTCTTTTCGTGCGTTAAAAAAAAAAGAATTAACAATACATCTTCATGTGAGTTTTTGTGCGCGATTATTTGCCAAAATACAAAATCATTCGAATGTTGTATCTTTTAACGTTAAGTAATCTCGGGCTCCTCCCGTGTATCTCGAGTATCGACTTACTTCGATTAATGCCGAGAAATATCGGTTGTATCCTCGAATCCCAAACTGACCGGTGATTCTGGAATTCGTTTCTCGACATTGATTGGTAAGTCGACACTGGCCAATCTCGCGTAACATAACACCTCCTTCGCGGGAAGAATTACGATCACTGAATCTTTCCCAACTCCATATCGCCGTTGAGATTCCCAACCATTTTCACTGTCTTTTCTTCTCGACAATTCTCGATTCTCGCGATACTCATTTGGCAATTAAAACATTAAGATATAATTGGCGGGTAGTCGGTAATGACAAACTTACCTTCAAATTCGTATCGAGCCCTTCCATGCGTCCATTCATTTGGCTGGACCACGCCAGTACCTGCAAGCAAACCAACGCAAAGGTTATTAAATTTTAATTGATTCGCCCATCGGTTTTTATAATTGGACGTCTGTGCGACGATTCGCCGCTTGTATATTGGGACGCGAGCGGAGCAAGGCAAACAAACTTCACGCTCAAATGAGCGAAACATTGAATTAAGAAGTAAATTAAGATTCAGTGACAACGCGGGAGGAAGCCAACGTGACGTCTCATGCAGGTGAGATAAATGAGAAAATAAATGTCGGCATAAGGTTCCCCGCCGGTCCGAGATACATGTTACTCGTTATACAAAGCGAGAACTTTCATTCGAGAGAATTATTACGAGAGAAAGACGTGTCGAACAATATGTAAAGATTAAAACAAGTCGAACAGACGACGGAAAGAGAGAAACACCTTTTTGCCAAGGTTGCACTACAAAACATTGTTCTTGAGGACAATTTTACTGAAAATCCACTGAGAGAAAAGAATATTCAAAAGATAGGAAATATTTTTTTTATTCGGTGGATACTAATAACACATTTATTTATACTAATAAAAAATATTTTCCAAATAAAAAATACACATTTTCTTAAAACTTTAAGAAAATTTTAACTTCTCGTGCGAGCAATTGTTTATTCTATTTAAATAAAAGAATTTAGATTTAAATAAAAATATGTTAGTATTTATCAAAAAACATTTGCTATTTTTAACATTTTCTTTCAGTGTTCATAATTGTAAATTTTTAATAAAATTCTCAAAAAGGACGTATTGGAATGCTAATTTGTGGAATGTAATTTGTGAAAATATTATACGAGATAATCGATAATATTATACAATAAATATTATACGAGATAATGTAATTCGAAAATATGGTGATATAGAAATTATGCTGTAAAGGGCATAATGTCGCTTCCGGAAATAATCTCAATGTGAGCGCGGCATCGGGTATACAGGGGTTGTGTCAGATGCACAGAGCGCTTGTTAGGACCTGATCCTCCATTGTTACATCGCAACAAGCATCTGCGCCCTTGAATCGACTCTCTCTGTCTCCCTCTCTGTTTCCCTCTCCACACTTCTCTGTGTGTAATTGTAAGGGAGATTTTTTTCGGACGAACACAATATAAGCATCGCGGACGACTATCTTTTATCCCTTGTATGACGCGATTACCAATTCAATAAAAATGCCTTGCAACTTATACACGTGCGCATATATAATTGTGTTTATAAATGTGTTGGTTTTCTCTTTGGGCCAGAGAATAAGACATCTCTCACCTGCAGAACTGAATAATGAATTAAATGATAATCGTAAAGTACTTCGGGAAGTCTTGAGCATCCGTTCATGCAATTTCTTGAGATCGAATATGTGTGTGTGTGTGTATGAGAGAGAGAGAGAGAGAGAGAGAGAGAGAGAGAGAAATAGATGGTTTTCTACTGGTTAATCAAAAAATTCCTGAAGAAAGATAGAAATGAATTATCCAGCGTTTGGCCCAGTGAAGTTTACAGCAAAGTGGAAAGCCGCCCTTAAACGATGACGAGGGGGAGGAGATGCGCGCAACGGCGGTAATACATTTGCACGTTTCCTGCGAGAATACGATTGAATTCCGGTTACGTAAGCGTGCGGACAACACAGTGTGCAACAATTTAACCACGTGATTATATAAACATCATTAGACCTGTGCTTGACAGATTATGCCTTGCCGACGACATCCCCTATCGTTACATTGACGAGTCACAAAAACAAGCCCGTCGCCCACCTGTGCTCGAACCGAGCGTGAAACACCTCTTTGAAATATTATTAACGCCAGAAGGGAGATCGTAATAGCCACTTTTTAACGCCGAAAACACCGCGATCATAAATTGTGAAGCAGTCCTTGCGAACGATACGGCGTCGAATGAATCGTAAAAACGACAATTATCATTTTTTCATTATTATTTATTATTTCCGGCAATTGTCGCGATATAAGCAGAGAATCTGCACGTTCTTTCTTAGGGAGAAAGATTTACGGTGATCGTAAAGAACAATCGTGTAATGTCAGGTGATAAGGACACTTCGTTAGCGTCCTCCTCGTAACAAAGTGCAAGATCGTATACTTTCACTCAGTGAACGATCGAATCGCGTTTTTGTGTCTGGACAAACGAGAAGAAATCGCAAAACAAGCAAACGTGTTCTTTAGAACACGTGTTCAGCAATCAGTGTATTCCTCACTGCAATATAAACGAGATAGAATTATAGAATAAAGAAAGGCGGTGAAGAATAGGTGAAGAATAGGTAAAGGAGAAAGAATAGGAGAAAGTGTAGGTAAAGTGTAGGTAAAGAGATGTAAAAAATAAGGTATAGATAAGATATGGATCGGATAAATTTTTTTTTGTGAATGTAAACCAAGTTCCCTTCTTGTCTGTAGCTAAAGGAAATAAAACTATATATATATATATATATATATATATATATATATATATAAAAGGTTCACAGTGTATTCCTCACTGAAATGCTGTACTTATAACTGCAAATGGTTCAGTTAGAAATACTATATACACTGTACTATACTACAAATATATACTACAAAAAATACTTGAAAATTTATTTGCGGGATATAAAGTTTATTTCTATAAAATAAAGTTTACTTATGTGAAATAAAATTCATTTATGTAAAATATACTTTACATCTCACAAATAAATTTTTAAGTATGTTGTTCCCAGTGTAAGACTACAATCACTAAAATCTCCCTGAAAGAATCAGTCATGTACTGGAAGAAAAAATATCTAAAATTTTGTAAACGTTTTCCATGGGTACCGATAACATATTTATTTAGATCAATATAAAATATTTTTCAAAGAAGAAAATATATTTTTTTAGACCCTTAACAAAATATTAACTTTTCATGCCATTTGTTCATTCTATTTGAATATAAAAATTGATATTTAAATAAATTTGTTATTATAGTACTTACAAAAGAAATATTCACTATTTCCTAGACATTTTTCTCTCAGTGTAACAATGACTGGTCCTATTATCGATGCAGTTTACAAATACAGACAGTGTCGTTGTAAAGCTGTTATTGATTCCATCATTTACCAACGCAGAAAGTTGGTGCAGCATGTAAAGGGCCTAAAATTTGTGTACTACAGATTTTCCGATGAGATCTTACTTCTATTAGTCAGAATCGGTGAGAAATGAGAGACGGAGCAAAATGGGAGTGTTTCCACTGAAAATCAGCGAGAATACTCACTGATTGCGTGTCGTGGTGAAATATCCTTTCTACCAATTCGACCACTTTCACTGATTCACTCGAATAGAAGAGCAGCGAGAAGGAGAAGACGCAGCTCCAAAATCGACATTACTTGGGCAACGCTGAAAACGGAAGTGCCGCGATAAATAACATATGATATAATCGCTATAAACAACACGGCCGATTCAGCTGCTCGTGGAGGAGTGATCGAGTGAGAGCGCAACGATAAATAAATATTCATCAAGCCGCACGAAAGCGTGCGCGATTTCCGCGTTTTTCCGCCGCGTCCGGAAAGAGTCGTTGCGACCGGCGATCTTTCGACAAAAACAACCGACTGATCGCACTCACGAGTCGGCAATGTCAAGGCGACTCGCTTATTTCCTTATCAATGCGCGCATGTTACGCAATCAGCCCGAAGTGCGGTGCACCAATATCCGCGACTCGCCTTCGATGCCCGCTGTGTGTGCTTGACCTGTGACGTAAAACACGCACGCACGTACACACGCGACCAAGGCCGCTCGTAACATTCGCAACGATTCCGTTATGTAAATTTAAATCGCGTGCGTTCTAGATTAATGCCATCGTTAACCGGTCCGTGCGCTCTGTTTGCGAATGTATTTAGTACGATTTAGTATTTAATATAAGAGGGAATCCGCCGCTGCGTAATGCGGAACGGTCTCCACCCCGTCGACATTGAATATCGCGACGTTGCAGGTGCACATCGTGCATTACGGGTCCGATGACGAGCAAATCGCCGTTTCTTCGTTCATTCACGCTGAAAAGCGAGTGTTTTCTCGCGACGACATTTCGATGCTCCTCGCTCGAAGTTAATGGGAAATCGCGCGCGTCATTGCACACACGTAATTCGATTCCTCACGGATTATCCACGACAATAATTCGTGATAACAACAACTATCCCGTCGCTATCCCGTCGCTATCACGAGCAGCCGTGACGACGGATTAATTAAGGGAAAGCGATTTAACCGGTCGCTGTGACGTTAGCGGACGCGACGTGCGTAACTGCTCGTCAACGAGACGCAAGAAACGCGCGCCGAAATTACACTTGACGCATTCCGCCGCGTTCGCCGGTGAAAATAATTATCACGCGCGCGCGAGTGAAGGCACCACAACGACGGACGCAGCCGGCCTGGCTGAATCGCGACGTCCCGCATTTACGTGCTGACCGATATTATGCGCCCTCGCGGGCCTAATGCGATTTGCATTTTAAACACTTTGACCTTTTCATACGGCTGTGCGCGCGGCCCCGCGCGATCAACTTCGCGCTCCCAGTTATCCCCTACGGGCATCCCAGTTATCGCCATGTGATTGGGAACTGACCACGGTTAACTCCAAGACCGTCGTCGAACTTAGATATCGATTTTGTGTGTGCGCACTGAGAAAAAAAATATCTGAGAAATGGTAAATATTTATTCAGCGCGGACACCAATAACATATTTGTTTATATTAATGTATATGTGTGTATGTATAATAGAATGTCTATCTGCGTGTTTCCTATTAACTCTTAAATCCTTTGACAGATTTAGAAACAAATTTTGCAGAGTTACTCTCTAGTTACTTCTCTGCGGAAGTATATATAGGTTGCTATAAGAGAGAGAGAGAGAGAGAGAGAGAGAGAGAGAGAGAGAGAGATCTGGATAATCCTTTAATTTCATGCCCTTGATATTTTGTGACCCGGATAGTTTAAGCTAGTATAAAATATTTTGAAAATAAGAAAATATATATTTTCTTTAAACCTTAAGAAAACCTTGGCTTTTCATATAAACGACTGTTTG